GGATTCGAACCCGCGACCCTCAGATTGTGAGTCGAGCGCCTTATTCACCTGGCCATGCCAGGCACCTTAATGTATGGAATACCTACGTTTGAATTTAGTTAAACTAAGATCTCCCAGGGAACTGATCAGTTTCATCAGTTCCCACATTACAGGGAACTGATCCCTAAAGTGGGAGATAATTTCCAATTAATTTTATTTCTGTATTAATAATGTAAACTAACCCAATAAAGAATATATTAAACAAACAATAGCAGGAATGACATACATTGTTATGCAGGTTTAACATTTAATATGAATAACTTTTCAATCCTGGAAATTGTACTGTATTTTTTTTTTTTTTTGGTCGACCTTTCACTTTCGCCTATTGTTAGCATGTTGAAACTCAATCTCTCTCTACCCCAAAATTCTGGGCATGGCATGGTCTAGTTGTTAGGGCACTCTACTCACAATCTGCGGGTCGTGGGCTCGAATCCCCGTCATCGAACATGCTCGCCATTTCAGCCGTGGGGGCGTTACGTTGTGAGGGCCAATCCCACTTTTCGTTGGTAAAAGAGTAACCCAAGAGTTGGCGGTTGGTGTTTTTGAATAGCTGCTTTTCATCTACCCTATCACTGCCAAATTAGGGACGGCTAGTGCAGATAACCCTCGAGTAGATTTGCGTGAAATTCAAATTATACCAAACCAACCAAAATTATGAGACAAGCTTTTCACACATACACTAACAGTTGTGGATGAGAAACACACAACTTTGCTTAATTATCAGAATTTTAAATAAATATCTTAAGTACCAGACATAACGGCGATCCTTTTTGATATTGTGTAGTAATTTTTACACCCCTTAAACTTTTTTACCCCCCACCTACAAGTGAAAACTGTTGTATATTATTCAGCAATAAACACCAAATCTTTACAATTTTTTTACAATGGAAAGCTACAGCTGGAAAAACGTAAGCGTCTCATCCACTTCGTAATACATGTAGTACCAAATCCTAAGAAAAATATTGTATATTTGAATGTTTGAAGTCACTACTTTATACATATATATTTATTTAAACTTACTTGTTTTCAATATCGCGCAAAGCTTCACGAGGGTTATCTGCACTGGCCGCCCTTAATTTAGCAGTGATAGACTAGAGGGAAGGCAGCTAGTCAACAACACCCACCACCAACTCTTGGGCTATTCGTTTACAAACGAATAATGGGTGTGTATAGTCGTTTTGTTATAGCAAAGCCACATCGGTCTATCTGCTGTGTCCACCGAGGGGAATCAAACCTTGATTTTAGCGTTGTAAATCCGAAGACTTACCGCTGTCCCACCGAGGGACAGAATAGTGGGATTGACCATCACATTATAACGCCCCCACAAAGCCGTATATTTAAGTCATCTCATTTACTTCCATTTATGTTTTTTTTTTCTGAAGTTCTAGAAAGGTGAACAAGGATAAAAATGGTTTCCTTTGAACTCCTAGTAAAACCTGATTGCTCCAAATGAATATAGCTTTGCGCATAAAAACAAATAAATAGAAAATTCATTCTGCTGCACCAGTCTAGACATTCAAGACTGAAGGACAACAACTACATATTACCAACTCTTCGCGGTTAGAAAGCACATTTCAAAGATTTCGCAATAAACAGATAGGATCTTTAAAAAAAAAGCTTTTTTTAAAAATAATAAAACGACATAGGCATGTGATTATAGACTAGCCACTAGATACATAATGACTTAAAAGTTTAATATCGGTTTACAGTTACACTATTGTGTTGCAATCAAATAACTGTAGATATTTCTTATTTTCAACATTAAAGCCAACACTTGGGCTAAATGCCAGACCAGAGATATCAAGTTTTAAGCAAAGTCATCCCTAATTCTAACTGCTGATCAGGGGAAGGGTAACCAGTCAGCAGCACACGGAGCCTACACTGTACACAGCTATTCTTAACCGAGTAGCGAGATTAACTGTCACAGTTATATAACGCTCTTATATGTGAAAGTCCAGAGCTTGTTGAGCAGCATATTGCAGTTCGAACCTTGGCCTTGTCAACGTGCAGCCCGGGACGCTAATCACTGGGCCACCCCCAACCAAAATATCTGCAGTTTCCGATGACGAGTGCTTAGATATATATATAAAAGTGTAAAAAATGTTTGTAAGGCTTAATCTGCTTGTTTGTTTTTTATTCGGAAGAGTGTTATCGTTGTGCGACTACCTATTTTATTTCATCTTATTTTATTATTTCAGGAACGAGTGACGGACCTTGCAATCTCAAACATTAAGGCATTTTTTGATAAAGACGTCCGAATGAAAAAGGACTGGGATGCCATTTCAGTGGCGCCACTGTGTGACGTAGAATATGTGAAAAAACCTAAAACTCGTCTAAAACTAGGGGGCAATTTTCCAGAGCCTTACTTCACGCCTCTGCATAAATGGTCAAATGATGAGCGACGACGACGAGCAAAAGAAAACCTACTTGATCAGCACAATAATAAGTTAGAAGAGAAGACACTGCTCCTCTCTGAAATGGACGCCCCCTGTGAAGCTGTACCACCAATAGATGCTCCAGATTGCATTGTATCTGAAAGTTATAATTCCACCCAAAAATCGGTATATCTTGATGCCGAAGATGATGTACTGGACAACAGGAATGATACTGATATTCCTTTGGTAAAGTTTAATACTAAAGAGAGGTCATCAAATGGTAGAGGAAGCTAGAGGTTATTTTGTTGTATTTACATTTGAAATAACTGGAACATTTATTACGTTGACAAATAAGTCACGGTGTTACTAACATGAAAACTTTGCATCATTATTTATTTGCATCTTTTGAATAAACACTTTTCATCTTTGTATGAAAATTGTTGACCACACTGCCTAAAGCTATCTTGAAAGAAGAAGAAAGAGAACCTAAAAAACAAACAAACTTGGCTCTCCCATTAAGAAGGTTTTTTTAATGATTCTCAAGCCACATATTGTAATAATAGGTGGGGGAAGTAGTATTTTTATTATATGGAAATACTTTAATTTTTGTTTATCGTGGTGGATTGATGTGAGTATTTTGGCAACGCAGGAAATTATCGATCGTATATCATCAAAAATATCATAAATAGTGTTGAAACTGATAAAGAAATGTTAACTGATGTGGTTCAGATTTGGTGTTTTTTTTAACCAAATTAAAAGTCAAAACAACCATGTTGGCATGGCTAATGAAAGTAAGTGTAACTAACGACGTCCATATTGGATATTAACTTTTCAGGAGCCGTCAAAACCACACCTTATTTAGTGTATATTTGACAATAAAACAAATAAAAGTCATTCTGACGCATTTGTTGAAACTATAACATTAAAAAAAACGCATTCTACTAACAATTTTCAGGTTTGATTTTCATGTTCAAATAGACACTAACATTTAAGCCTACAAAAACAAAAGAAAACAGTGGAAGGATTTAATGTCAACAATTTTCTCATGAATGATTAAGCTAACTTACCATAACACTCCTACATTTATTTATATATATTTGTATGTATGAGCAAAGCCAAATCAATTCTAATTGGTTAAAGCTGTTGGAGAAACTGATACTCAGATTTAACTACAGTAGATATATATATATGTGATTTATGGTAGCTGAGAGAGATTTTTTTTGCCCATCAGTGGCTTAGCGGTATGTCTGCGGACTTATAACATTAAAAATCGGGTTTCAATAGCCGGGGTGGGCGCAGCACAAATAACCCATTGTGTAGCTATGTAAGTCCACAGACATACGGCTGTGCCACAACATTCCAATCACATCTGTTTCGTATATGACGAAATGCCACATCAAATCTAGAACTCAAGAAATTTCTAGATATCACACATCATCATCATTACGTCATGCTAAAACTCCCTCTTGTGAACAGTACAAAACGTCTAAATTAAAATATTATAAACAGAGCTTGCAATGTGTTTAATATGAGACACTTCTGATATGCTACCAAAACAAACAAACAAATTATTATAAATATTTTGTGTCGTAGCCTTAACTATTTAGCTAATGAGAATTATTAAAAGGTTATCTATAATGTGAAGATTAAAATTAATAATAAGATTTGTCCGTTGTGTTTGCACACAAATGTAACATTACAGTTATATGAATTTCAAATCAATTTCACATTTCAATAAAAGAAAATGAATTTCAAGAACGTGTGATCTTATTTCCATTATCAGACATTTCAACTAATTACGCACAGCGGTACGTCTGCGGACTTATACCGCTAGAAACCGGGTTTCGATACCCGTGGTAAGCGGAGCACAGATAGCCCTTTCTGTAGCTTTGTGCTTAACTAAAAAACAACAACGTCCATAATTTATTAAATGCAAAGCTTCAGAGCTAAGTTCTTGTTGATCAGTGTTAAATAAAATGTCCACACATTCTAGAGATTTTCATTTTATAGATTGATATTATATAATTACAGATTTTCTTATCCAAACATGACGACAGGTACTATAAAACCTATTAAATTATTCCTATCATTTTTCTGCTTGTAGGATTTTTCAATATTGAAGCATTAAAGCAAAATCCCTCATAAATCATAATTTCAGCGGAAAATACTTGTATTCAGTAATATATATATATATATATTGTTAGTTCACTTATGAAAATCGATGTTTTTTTAAAAAATTGTACTAACAAATAACGTAAACTAGTAAATATCACAACACCAGTGTAAGAATTTTCATCTTTGTGTGTGTGGCCGTGAAAGTTGTAAAATTTACATGTTTTCAAACGATTAAATCCAATTTTCTTCATCTTTTAAGTTTGTAATAGACATGTGAAAGAAACTTAAAGGAAATTTTGAGTAAATAAAAACAACCGTAATTATAGTATTTTGGCACTTGTATGTATCAGCCATTATTTATTTAACTTTTTCATCTCCATTTTGTATCAGCCATTGTTGATTTAACCTTTTCATCTCCATTTTGTATCAGCCATTGTTCATTTAAATACATGAATGTAAATTCTCATCCTTTCATTTTACAACACATTCGTTTAAATACATTGGGATTATGATTGGTTGATTGATTTACAGTTAAACTCAAAGCTACACAATGGCCTATCTGCCCATCACAGGTATCGAAACTCGGTTTCTCGCAGTATAAGTCCACAGACATACCGCTGTGCCACTGTGGGGCTGAGATTCTGTATTTACAATTAATATTTCTCGAAATAGTGTATTTAAGTGTTTTGCACTCACAAAAACGAAACCTATCATTCTATATGTATTTAAAGAACTTGTAGCATTTCTGTTCCTTTTGATACACTGGGATTCTAAATTGACACTCATCTTTTCTCTTTTTAAAAGTCTTATTGTGTCTTGTCACACCAAACAGTCATCTAACCCTACCGAAAGAAACACCATACTTATGTACACATTGTGTTCTAAAGTTAAACTCCTGAGGATGACGTTGCAACGTCGAAACATGTAGAGTCGTCAACTTTTTGAAGGAAATAGATAGGCCTAAATAAAGTATTTTTAATTGTGTACCAATTTTAACGTTGAATATTATTTATGATTTTAACTTTATAAAATGGAGAAGAAAAGGTTAAATAAACAATAGCTGATACAAAATGGAGATGAAAAGGTTAAATATATATTATGGGTAGCTAGTCCACATAGGATTTATATATTATGGGTAGCTATTCCACATATGATTTATATATTATGGGTAGCTAGTCCACATAGGATTTAAATTTATGGGTAGCTATTCCACAGAGCCTGGATATAGAATTTATTGATGTAATGTTTCAGCTTTCTCCACAATGACCAAAAGTTCATAATTCTGGGAAAAAAGTTTTAAGTGGGATTACAGGACTATTAAGACATTCAGATATGTTATGAAATGTTGTTCTTTATGTTTTCTACCATTTAGTTAGAGGTTTGGAAACAAATATGTGAAAGAACCCTATCCATGATAAGTTTTATTTCCTCAAACTTAAGTTTCATTAAGATGTCCATCAACGAATGACTTTTAGTCTTCTTCATGTGTGTGTGTGAACTGTTCAAGGGGAAATCACTACTAACGGTAAAGGTTTCTTTGTTATTATGCACAAAGCTACACGAGAGCTATCTCTGCTGTGCCTACCTCTAGGATCGAACTCCTAATTTGAGCGTCACAAACCCTCAAACTTACAGTTGAGCCACCCAAAACAGTAAAGAAGTCATTAAACTCTATTTTATATATATATATAAGTTAGCGCGTGCTTTTGGAGGGTTTCAAGGATAACGGGCAAGACTTCTCGCCATTCTCTTTCTTACCCGAAGGGCAACTGTGAATTTTCCGTATCTCAACTAAGATTCATTATAGCTAACGGTTTGTGAAAAACAAAACAAAAACATGTTTTCAAGGTCAGAGACACCTGGCTTACAGAGAACCACACCTTAAAGAAAGTATAAAATGTATCTTCCCACCTTGTTATATACTCCTTTGAAAAACGAAACTATTCAAGTCCCTTTTATACCTCGCAGCGGTTCAGGCTTAAGATACAAATATTTACCACCTGACCATTAACAACAATCTTTCTTCGAAAATAGTGACTCCTTTCTCTAAAATTCTATCCCTACCAATAGCAGTGATTATTTTGCTGACGTATACATCAAATTAATCAATAGGGAAATGCTATTATGCTTTAAATTGTTAGCTGTTCTTCAATAAATATATATAGGTTTTAGAAAACTTAATTGGTTCTATTCTGTATTTTGTATTATTCATCGCAATGTTCTTTATATGGTCATATAAAAATATAAATATATAAAAACCAACTATTACGGCCCCATATTACCGATAATTTGCTTAGTTACCCCTCAACATAATTTTTGGTGTTCAGCTTTATAAGAAGATATCGTTATGTTTCCAAGTTTATCATATTCTATGATTTGTAATGAAACTATTATTTTACAGGTATAATGCAAAATCTAATTTTGAAATCCTATACTCATTCCCTTTGTCAGAGGATGATCCAGAATTTTAGAAAGGTGGGAGTCCATCTCTTATTCCAGAATGCAGATTTAATTAGACACAGCATAGTTATGGATTATTTTAGAGTTACATAAACGGAATAAGAAAGTCACGAAATCTGTCTCTTTTTTTCTGTTTTGTTCTGGAAAAAGAGAGTCCTGACCTTTTCAACTGCATTTTCTATCAGCCATCGTTCATTTAACCTTTTCATCTCCATTTTGTATCAGCCATTGTTTATTTAACCTTTTCATCTCCATTTTTGCATCAGCCATTGTTTTCAGATAGCAGAGAATCCTGGTTACCAAAAGAATGAAAAAGGGGAATACTAAAAGAGTAAAATATTTGGCATAAGTATTACTCTAATCTACGGGAGTATCTAAATATGACTTTCATGCTCCCTTCTTTTATTACCTAAGATAGTACAAATATTGTAATATCCCGGAAAGTCTTTCTTATTAAAGAAAGATATGAATATTTAGGTAAAGGAAAACAAAAAAGTCCTCCAACAGTGCAAAACAATCATGGATATATATCTGAGTTTTAGTTTATATATATAGTTTCAGTTCATCAGGAGAAAATCACTGACAGAGAGTTTGACAGGTCTTATAATACAAGATGACTTGTACAATTGCACTTGGTATTCCATCAGTTGTGGAGATGGTTATTGGGATTCTGTCCAACAGAGCTGGAGGGATAAACATCATCCCTAAAACAGATATAATATATCTAGCATAAATTACGGTTGCAGAAAGAGAGAAGGGGTGAGATCGAATTCCTATGGAATTAATACACCACCTAACATGGAAGGGTCTTGGAGAAGTGATGGAGAGGGGTGCAATGGAAAGAATATATGTTTTGTAATGAAAGTGGTCAATATTAAAAGTTTCATAGGATTTATATATTATGGGTTACTATTCCACATAGGATTTATATATTATGGGTAGCTATTCCACATATGATTTATATATTATGGGTTACTATTCCACATAGGATTTATATATTATGGGTAGCTATTCCACATATGATTTAAAGAGAGTTATGATTAAACTTATATCCTATTTACAATGAATAAAACCAGTACTTGTCAAATGTTATACCTAAATATTTTAATTCATCAACTATGAAGGTATCCATGCCACGGTGTCCCTAATAATGGCTATACATTTTATATTACACTCAAGAGTAGCAAAAGGGACTGTAAAAGGACTAGGGTTTCTTGCAAAGATTCACATACAAATTCAATAATTTGGTCATGTCTCCAAATGAAAGCATCTTTAGCAAAGATAACAAGTTTGTCAACTCTTCTGAGACAATCCTTAAAATCACTTATCATAACACTAATTTGAGACGCTCCTGAGTAGACGA